CAACATCTCTGTCACCATTTTCAGACCAAAGATCTTGGCAAACTTAGATATTTCTTGGGTATTGAGGTGGCACAGTCCAATGATGGTATTGTTATATCTCAGAGGAAGTATGCCATGGATATTTTAGAGGAAACTGGGTTGATGAATTCAAAGTCTGGTTGGCGTCAGGCCATGTTAGATGAACTAAGTGCTCTTCATAATAGTGGAACTTGGGAATTGGTCTCGTTACCGTCTGGGAAATCTGTTGTTGGTTGCAGGTGGGTGTTTGCTATCAAAGTTGGACCTGATGGTACTATTGATCGTTTCAAAGCTCGTCTTGTGGCCAAAGGTTATATGGAGCAACCTCCTGGGTTTGTTGCTCAAGGGGAGTCTTCTGGGATGGTATGTCGTCTTCGCAAATTCCTATATGGCCTAAAACAGTCTCCTAGGGCCTGGTTTGGAAAGTTTAGCAAGGTTGTTCAACAATTTGGTATGACTCGGTGTGAAGCAGATCACTCTGTCTTTTATCGACACTCAAGTGCTAGATGTGTTTACTTGATAGTATATGTTGATGACATCGTTCTTACAGGTAGTGACAACCATGGCATCTCTCAGTTGAAACAACATCTCTGTCACCATTTTCAGACCAAAGATCTTGGCAAACTTAGATATTTCTTGGGTATTGAGGTGGCACAGTCCAATGATGGTATTGTTATATCTCAGAGGAAGTATGCCATGGATATTTTAGAGGAAACTGGGTTGATGAATTCAAAGTCTGTTGATACGCCCATGGATCCCAATACTAAACTTTTACCAAATCAGGGGGAGCTTATACCTGATCCTGAGTAGTATAGAAGATTGGTTGGAAAATTGAATTATCTTATAGTTACTCGTCCTGACATTTCCTTTGCAGTTAGTGTGGTAAGCCAATTTCTTAATTCCCCATGTGAAGATCATTGGAATGCATTCATTCGTATCTTAAAGGATCTCCTGGAAAAGGATTGTTATATGATTCTAATAACCATACAAGAGTTGTTTGCTACTCAGATGCTGATTGGACAGGATCTCCTTCGGATAGAAAATCTACATCTGGATATTGTGTCTCCATTGGTGGTAACTTGGTCTCATGGAAAAGTAAGAAACAAAGTGTTGTGGCAAGATCTAGTGCAGAAGCAGAATATAGAGCTATGACCTCAACTGCTTGTGAACTTGTTTGGCTCAAGCAATTCACTACTACAAAATATACTTTCTACGTCGTCATTTAACGTCGGTTATAGCTGAGACGACGTAGAAAGTACTTTCCACGTCGGTTCCCAGATGAGACGACGTAGAAAGTACTTTCTACGTCGATCCCCATATAAACCGACGTTGAAAGTCTTTTTTTTATTTTTTTTTTACTTATTGACACTTTTCACGTCGGTTCCCATATGAACCGACGTGGAAAGTCTTTTTTTTTATTTTTTTTCACCCAAAAACTCACTTAAATTTGAAAATTGTCATTGACAGGATTCGAACCCAATACTTTAGAGTTGAAGGCCGATACTCCAACCACTAAGCTACTAGAATTTTCTCGATAATAACTTACAAATAAATTATATTTATATACAAATAAATATATATCCATGTAAATATATATTTATTTGTATATATTTTCTGGAAAGTATTTTTATTTTTATTTTCAACCAAAAATTCTCTTAAGTTAATGAATTGTCACTAATAGCATTTGAACCCAGTATTTTAGGGTTGAAAGTTAATATCCCAACCACTAAACTACTATAATATTTTGATAATAACTTACAAATAAATTATATTGGTATTTTTCGATCGAGGGTGAAAGTGTGATTGACTCTTGCTTGAGTGAAAATATGTTAAAGTTCACGGAAATTCACTTACTCAAGTCTCGCTTGAGCGAAAATTGCTATTTTTCGCTTGAGAGCAAATAACACGTTTCCCAAATTTATTTTATATTATTATATAAATAAAATTATAAATATTATATTCTGTCATTAAATTACAAACTCATATAAAGATACCTGCTCACAAATTTAGCATCAAATTTTGAAAACCCACTCGACACACACTTTCACTTTCGAGTGTGCCCTCACATCCAACATATAAATATATAACTATATAAATATATCAAAATATATAAATATATTTGTATTTATATATTTATATATTTACATGGATATATATTTATTTGTATATAAATATAATTTATTTGTAAGTTATTATCGGAAAATTCTAGTAGTTTAGTGGTTGGAGTATCGACCTCCAACTCTAAAGATCTTGGGTTCGAATCCCGCTAATGACAATTCTCTTAAAAAATTAATAAACTTCTAAAAAATATAATATAAAGAGATGGAGGACCTAATAAAAATATAATATAAAGAGTAAAGGGGTTGTAAATTTGGAGATGTCACTCAAATGTCACTTGTGTGTGACAATCAGGTTTCTCTTCATATTAGTTCTAATCCTGTCTTTCATGAGAGGACCAAATACATTGAGATTGACTGTCATTTCATTCGAGAAAAGATTATGTCTAGAGACATCAAGACTGAGTTTGTTAACTCAAGTGATCAGTTAGCGAGATATTTTTACTAAATCTTTACTGGGGTCCTAGAATTGATTATATTTGTAACAAGCTTGGCACATACGATTTGTATGCTCCAGCTTGAGGGGGAGTGTTAGATATTATTTAGATATTATTTAATATTGTTAAGATATTGTTAGATATTAACCATAATATCAAACAATATCTTCTGTTTATTCTGTTACTTTCAGTTACCCTTTTAGTTGTATCTCTCTACTATAAATAGACTACCCTATGTGTGATTTATACACAAGGGAGATTAATCCCAAACTCTATTTCTTCTATATTCAACATAATCAATTATTTTAAAATTATAATCGATTAGTTTAGCTTATGATCGATTATAAATAGTTGTAGGTTTCTCGCTCAAGCGATGGAATTCTCGCTTGAGTGAGAGTTGACCACAGGCTAAAGTTTCAACGCAGTTAGCCATATAATACAACTTGGGTAACCACATATTTCAATTAGTTCTCGCTCGAGCGAAATTACCCATCGCTTGAGCGAAAATTGACCACAGGCTAAAGGTCCAACGTAGTTAGTCACATAATGCAACTTGAGTCACCACATATTTCAATCAGTTCTCACTCGAGCGAAATTATCCATCGCTTGAGCGAAAAACACTCGAGATTACCCATTAATTTCATGTCTCCTCGCTCAAGCGATGGATTTCTCGCTTCAGCGAAAGAGAAATAATCAATCATAATTTTAAATATTTGATTATTTTAAAATTATGATCAATTAATTTAAATTATAATCGATTATAAATTTTATCGCTCAAGCGATGAATTTCTCGCTTGAGCAAGAATTGACCACGAGCGAAAGGTCCAATGCAATTAGCCAATCACTTCTCGCTCGAGTGAAATTACCCGTCACTTGAGCAAAAATTGACCCAACATTACTCATTAGTTTCAGATCTCCTCGCTCAAGTGATGAATTTCTCGCTTGAGCGAGAGAAAAATAATTGATCATAATTTTAAATATTGATTATTTTAACATTATGATCGATTAATTTAAGTTATAATCGATTACAAATTTTCTCGCTCAAGCGATGGGTTGCTCTCTTGAGCGAAAATTGACCACAGACGTTAAGTTAACTAATCACTTCTCGCTCGAGCGAAATTACCCATCGCTTGAGCGAGAATTGACCAAAGGCTAAATGTCCAACGCAGTTAACCACATAATGCAACTTGGGTCACCACATAATTTAATTCGTTCTTGCTCGAGCACCCATCGCTTGAACGAAAAAATACCCAAGATTACCCATTAGTTTCAGGTCTCCTCGTTCAAGCGATGAATTTTTCGCTTGAGCTATAGAACTTCTCGCTCGAGCGAGAATTTTATCACTTGAGCGAACCTAAACCCCACAAAACCCTTAAATTTCAGTGTCTACTCGTTCAAACGATGCATTTCTATAATATCATAAATAATAAATAGTATTAGTTAGATAAATAATGTTACAACTATATTATTTTGGAAAATATTTTTTAAAATAATATTATTTATAAATAAAAGTCGCAAGGGTAAGCGAGAACTACGGGTAAAAATGTCTACGCGCCTTATATTTTCATGTCATGACGTGCGTATGACCTGGTCCACGTGGCCCGTCCTGTGTTGACACCTTAAAGTTAAAATCTCCATGAAGCCTTTCAGCAAATTTTAGATGTTACAGACGTGCCTATCTAGTAACCCTAAGTATTAAATAAGTCTATTTAAATAAATAAAATAATAATGATTTATTTGGATAAATATATTAAAATAAGTTATTAAGAAAAAAAATCGCATCTAAACGCAAAATGACAAATATTAAAAGCGTCAGGACGACTCGACCTCTTCACCTCAAGTGATAATAAAAACTTGTTTGAAGCCGCTTGTTAATGTTGTAGTTCTCATAATACCATCTTATATTATATTTTCTTATACATATTAATTTATTTTTTTATTTTTTTATTTCTTCTAAATAAAAAAAAAAAAGGACACTTTTGCATCATCATTGTCTATTCGTCCATCTGCTCGGGTTTGCTTATTATATAAACATCGTCTTCTTCCTGGTAAATATCAAACATTCATATCATCTATCCCATAACCAAAACCTTCTTCTTCAATCACCGGCAAGAATCTGAACTCAGCTAAACCTATTACTTCATATTCAATATATGGATGCTCCAACTCGCCTCTTACCTCAACCCGATATTTATTTACAAACCCCCGCCGGCAACCGCATTCCAGCGCACGCTACCATTCTGGTACCTCTTTTTTCTTCAATCTTCAATTCATGATTTCATATTCTAATAATCTCAATTTCGCAATTTCAATGTATTCGAATTTAATTTAATTAATCCCGAAGGCTTCGGCATCACCGGTTCTACAAAACGTTATAGCGTCCTCCAACCGAATCGTTAAACTCCACGGCGTTCCAGACGGCGCCGTCATGGCCTTCGTAGCGTTCATCTACTCCTCCAGGTTCGTCGTTAGTTGTTATAGTAATACGAATTAGAGTTGATGAGTTAGTTATAACTAATTGCTGATGAGGAATGATAGGGTGCGTGCAGGTGTACGGAGGAGGATATGGACAAGTACGGAATGCACCTTTTGGCACTGTCGCATGTGTACTTGGTGACGCAGCTGAAGCAGCGGTGTATCAAGGGACTGAGCGAGCGCGTGAACACGGAGAACGTAGTGGACGTGTTGCAACTGGCGCGGCTCTGCGACGCACCGGATCTTTATCTCAAGTGCGTTAAACACCTCACGAACCATTTTAAAGTTGTGAAGGAAACCGAGGGATGGAGATTCCTGCAGAACCACGACCCCTGCCTCGAACTCGACATTCTCCGCTTAATGGAAGAACACGAAAAGGTAATAATAGCTATCGCTATCACTGATCAGTGTGATGTGAGATCTGGAATAAGAATTGTTGTTGTGATTAAATTGGTTGTGTTCTGCGGACAGAGGAAGAGGAAGACTAGGAAGCGGAGGGAGGAGGGGAGGTTGTACGCGGAGCTGAGCGAGGCGATGGAGTGTTTGGAGCACATATGCACGGAGGGGTGCACGGACGTGGGGCCGTACGATGTGGAGGTTGGGCGAGGGAAAGGACCGTGCTCGAAGTTCGGCACGTGTCAGGGTGTGCAGGTTTTGATCCGACACTTCGCCACCTGCGAGAGGGTGAAGGGAGGGTGTTTGCGGTGTAAACGCATGTGGCAGCTCTTCAGACTCCACTCCTCCATTTGTCTGCGACATGATTCTTGCAAGGTTCCTCTCTGCAGGTTTTTTTTTTTTTTTTTTTCTCTTTCTTTCTTTCTTTTTCTATTCTCTATTTTTCATAAAATATAAATTATTTATAGTCATTTACTTTTTTTTTTTTTAAAGCTACACTTTATAATAATTACATCTTCAACTGAGCTGAGATTCTCACTTACTAGCTGTAATTGTAGGAATATAAATCGACTTTTTGGTCTAACACCAATTCATTTATCTAATAATAATAATAATAATAATAATAATAATAATAATAATCTATATTACATATGTAATTTTTTTAACTATTTTTTGTTATTATTATAATTATTTTTATAATATATTATGAATAAATAGGTGAGACATAATATAAGAAAAATAACTATTATACTATTAAATATTAAAACGATGAGAGAAAGAACCCATACAACATGGATAAAAATAAATAAAAATTTAATATTGTATGTAATAATAATAATAATAATAATAATAATTTAATCGTTTGTATTCTATTTTCGAAAAAGTTAATTTTCTACGTGTATTCTAGAGACTGGCTTATTTAACTAGTCTAAACGGAAATAAAATTAAAAAAAATTGAGTTAAATTTTTGGTTTAATTGATTTTGATTAAAAAAATTAAAGATAATTTTTTTTATAAAAGATATATTATTATTTTTTTATCTCAGGTCAATTTTAAATAATAATATTTATTTTATTTTAAATATTGTTTATTTTATATTTTTTAATATATTATAATTTTTATGATAATAATTATGATAATAATTTTTATTATTTTTTTATAAAAAATATTATTATTAATAAACTTATTATATAATTATCATGTATATTAAATCGGAATACATTGATGTTATCCATAGGTTTTTATGATACGTTTTTATTCCATTATTGTTTTGGCAAGAATAAAGATACATGACACCCATAAAAAAAAAAAAAAAAAAAATTTAAGTACATGAAATGCAATGCTACTTGACATTTCCGCAAAAAAGAGTTTATGTAAGATACATGATATGAAAATAGGATGAAAGAGATAATAAGAAAAAAAAAAAAAACGTGAAGTAGGTGTTGATGTGATACTATTCCATTTTAGTAAAGACAAAGATGCATGAATACTCTCTACGGTGTTGTACCTTGAAAGAGAACGAAAGAAGTGTCACGATTATATGTGGTATGGGTTGATAAGAAAAGAGTGAGAGAGTGTGCGAATAAAATGATTATTGAATAGGGGTTTGTGATATATCGGGATGATAATTAAACCTGTATTCGTGGGATTGACTCGTCTCTGTCTCGGGAAAAACCCGAGTTGATTGATGGTGGGGGCGGGTTCGGGTTTTCTTCGCTTTAAAAAGTCGAGGCGAGCCACGAGGATGGGTAATGCAATCCCCACCTCGACTCCGTCCCCGTCTCGTCCCCACCCCGACTTTATATTTAAATTTAAATTTTAAAATATTAATATTTTAAAAGTATTTTCTTTTCTTTTTCTATTATATATAAAGTCATTTTTTTATATTTCACCAAATTTTATTTTTCTTTTACCCACTTTTTTTTCTTTTTTAATCTTTTATATCAATTAATTTATTACATTATTTTCTCTTACTTTTCAGTTTTTCATATCTCCTTACTCTCTCCCATCAATTTGTTTTTTTTTTTCAATCTTTTCAACCAATTTGATGAACACAAAGTTAATTTTTTTTATTCTTTATCTTTTTCTAAATATTTTACATAAATTTTAGTAGTAACTAATATTATTTTATTTATAATTTATATTTTATTAGGTTTTATTATATCATATTTTTTTATCTTATTATTCTTATTTATCATATATCAAATTTTATCTTAATAAAATAATTGTATTTTAAAGGATTAAAGGAATTGATAATTTAAACTTTTATTACTTTGAACTAATTGAATAAGAATTAACTTATTAAATATTTCCTTATAAACTATATATTTCATATTTTTAAATGATAACTTAAAAATGAATTAACTTTTATATATATATATATATATATATATATATATATATATAATCAAATGTTTGAATACAATATTATAATAATAATGTTATAAGTATCCAAATATTTCAATACAGTATTATAATAATAATAATAATAATATTATAAATAAAAAATGATTAAATATTTCTTTTACATATATATATTTTAATATAAATATAATAAATTAAAATATATATTTAATTAATAATAATTATAAATATTTAGTTATATATAAAAATAGATAGTAAAATTAATTTATTATAAATATAATTACCTTTTTAAAATAATATAGATCGAAAACGAGATAGGGACATAAAATCTCAAATCCAAAAAAGACGAAAATAAAGATTTAATTTCTAACCCGACACAGATCGAGTGACTGAACCAGCTCCCACCCTAATGCAACCAACCAGTTGTCATACCTTTATGGGAGTATCCACATATTTATCTCCTTATTAGGATAAAGATGGAGGGATTCATGATGTTATCTGACGCTGAGAGAGAAAGAGGGAAATGCAAATATGATTGATGATATAGATGTCAAATTAATGTCATGACATGGATTTGTGAATCACGTTCCGTTCTAGTAAAATTCTTAATTGTGCCTGGAGTCATACAGATATAATATAGGTGCTATAGTATGTATAGAGCTGGTTAGGCTTTACTCTGCTATTGGGCTTTTAGATTATACTTGTGATTAGGTAAGGAAATTTAGTCTTTTTGGCGTCCTCCTTCTCATTATAAAAGAGAAACTGTATTCTTATATATTTAAATTTTGTGCAAAAAGTCGTATAACAATGACAAAATTTAAAATAAAAAATAGCAAGGGTAAAATAAGATTATTGATGTGATGGAAAGATAGAAAATAATTAGTGAATAAAAGATTGGTTAAAATGAGAGTTTTACATCTATTAAAAAGACGATATAAATACAGATAATAAAAAATATAATTTTTTATGTTGATTATTATGAACAGATATAAAAAATAGGCTATATAAATATAGATCATAAAAAGTATGATTTTTTATGTCGATTATTATAAATTGACATAAAAAATAATGAATTTTTTATAAAAATTTATATTATCAGGATTCAAACTAAATATCTTAGAGTTAAAAATTACTATTCTAACCATTAAACTATTATAATTTTTTTATAAATAACTTACATATAAATTATATTTATATACAAAATATATAAATATAAATATATTTATTCTCTTTATAAAAAAGAAATTATATTTATATATATTTAAATTTTGTGCAAAAAGTCGTATAACAATGACAGAATTTAAAATAAAAAATAGCAAGGGTAAAATAAGATTATTGATGTGATGGAAAGATAGAAATAATAAATAATATTTATATAAATTTATGGTATTGTGTCGTGTCACTATGCCAATTTTAAATTCCGTATTCGACCACGGTTTGCTTCGTAAGTTACTGCTTAGTTCGTCCTTCATATATTCAGGGACAAACGTAGATGATGAATCACATCTTTACACGGCTAGATGGTTTATTATACGTTATGTTGACATAAGAAGTTAATATGAGGTAGTGATGGCTGTTGTGTTCTTTGCACAAACAACCAAAGCACTGACGCAACTCATAGGATAATAGGTCTGGGTTAACATTGTTGTTTGTTTTGACTGAATGTGACAGGCAAATTAGATTAAGAATGGAGCAAGAGAACAAGAAAGGTGACGCAAGGTGGCAACTACTAGTGAGGAAAGTGGCCTCGGCCAAAGCAATGTCTTCCTTGGCATTGCCAAAGAGGAAGCGGGTTGTGGAAATTAGTGCAGAGGGACCATAAAAAAACTACTTTCATGAGAAGTTTCATGCGACTGCGCTATTGCCATGTTTATCGTCCTTGATTCTGTACAGAGATGTCTGGTGTACTCTGAATTGTAGATTAGACGCAGCAGAGTTTTGGGTTGTGTGATCCTCTTTGGGGAGAAATTGGATAGTTTAAGACCATCACATAGCTACAGTTTGTGTTTTTATGATGAAAGCAAATAGATATTAATAAGAATAAAGATGGTTTTCGACCACCTTCTGATTTTTCCTGTTTCTAGATGCATAACTACAAAATGATGAGAAATTGCAACATGAGCTATTAGTTCCTTTTTTTCCTATCGGGTTACAAATATTTTGCATTAAATCCTACTCGATGTTAAAGTATATTTTTATATGTTATCTTACAATATTTTTATTTTTATTTAAAATAAAGTCAAAATAACGTATTTTTAAATAGATATTAGATAGTTAAATAAAATAAAAATAAAAATAGAATTGAAATACACAGTATATAATATGAAAAATATTTAAAACTAATGAAAATAAAAATCTATCAATATATGACAATATACAATATTTAAAATTATAAATTATTTAAAAGCATCTAAATAATAATAATAATAATAATAATAATAATAATAATAATAATAATAACTTGTTTTCTATCATTGTCAATATCTTATTTAGTAAAAGATTAAAATAATTATCTTAAATAAATAAAGTAATGCTTTATAGGTGATGAAGAAATAAAAGAATTAAGTGACGTCTTATATAAAAAAAACTTATAAATATTTTAGAAGAAAACAAAACAACAAAAACTTAAAAAAAATAGAAGTTATAATATCCCAAGATAATTACAATATATATAATTATTTTAAATTATAATCTATATATATATATATATATATATATATATATATATAATATTAAAGAATGTATAACCAATAAAAGCATTTAAAATCTGTTCAGATCTATTTTTATTAAGGTCTAAAATTTTAATTATTTGTTTTTCTATGATCACCAATTATCACGATTTAAAAGCAATACATATAACATTAATTAGTAATTTAAGACAATCATGTAGTTTAACTATTTTACAAAAATATTAATATACATATATTTTCACATATCTCATTTAATTAATATATCATATTATATCGTATATGATATTATATATCCCATATGTTTATTATCAAGTTGTACTGATTAATAACTAAATATTAAATTAAACTTATAGATTTGTAATTATTATATTACAATTCTTTCATTGCTTAAAATAAGGTTCTCAAATTAGTATAAATACTCTCATATAAATAGGTTAAATTTTTACTATTTATTAAAGCATCATTTTTTTTCACACTACAAACTAAGTCATAACATTTTTCAACTCTTATCACTTAATTCATTTATTTATATAATTTTACTAATTATTAAAATCAAAATATTTCCTCAGATTACAGATTCAATATCAATGCATACCACATAAATACATATAGAAATATTCCTTTATATTTCTCGCCACAATTATATAGAAGATCCTCGTATACAATTATTTTCAACATTTCATAATATATCACTTTTATATAAATTCAAAACAAATTAAAAAATCAATTTCATCAGATAGAAGCAAGACAAAAAGAAAGCCGTTTTTTTTTATTGTTAAAACTTAATAAAAATACAATGGAATAAACATAAAATAAAGTTTTAGATATGTAAATACATAGCCAAGCATAAAAGCATCACTTACGCAAAAAATTTATCTCTTATATGTGAAAAATATCCCTTAAGCAAATATTTTTCAAAATCACATTTTCCCTGGGAGGTTGATTTTTGTTTGAGCTAAAAGATTTTATGCTTGAGGAAAAACTATCAAACTTAAGTTTTGAATCTTAAACTTATTTCCGTTTTACTAAAATCTTTTTGCTTAAGTGAAAATTTACAAACTTAAGTCTTAACTCTTAATCTCATTTTCGTTTGAGTAAATACGAACCCAAGAAAACTCTATTTTCAGGGAGTCCCGATATTCAAGTGATCAAGGTCTCACTTAAACGAAAGACTCTGTAGAGAAGTTTTTGCTCTCTATTGCATTTTCATTTAAGAGATACTAAACAAAATTACGTAAATGGTGAAGTTTTTTTTTTATTATTATTATTATTTAGTAGTTTTTTTTAACCTCTGCGAAATAAATGATTGAGTTTTTGAAAATTTACACAGTTAGATTAACCATAAGCAATTAGTACCTGGATCATATTGTATCGGTTATCACTACAAGAAATTTTAATATTACCGACGGTCAAAATTAAGTCAATAATAGCAAAAATCCTTTAATAGTCCGATCGCTAAATGTTTATGAAATTATTGACGGACAAGAATCCGTCGGTAATATTTTTATTATTTATTAAATATTTTACTTATATATTTTATAGAAATACCATTCCCTTTATATTTTTATTATTTATTATTAATTATTTTCCTCTATTACATTTTTAAAGTCTTTAATTATTATTAGATTAAGAGAATTGTTATTGGCAGGATTCAAACCCAAGTACCTTAGAATTAAAGGTCGATACTCCAACCACTGAAGCTACTAGAATTTTTTAATAATAATTTACAAACAAATTATATTTATATACAAATATATTTATATATTTATATATTTATATATTTATATATTTTTATTTTATATATTTTTATATTTTTATATATATATATTTATTTATATATAATTAAATATTTTTATATATTTATATATAATTAAATATTTATTTTTTAAAATTATTTAATTTAAGAAATTATTATAAATTAATCTAATTATGATTAAATTAAATTATTAAATAAAAAATATTTAATTTTTTAATTAGGTGAATATTTATTAATTGTTAATTTATCGACAGATTTACCAGACGGATATATCCGATTCAGTAAATTCATCTGTAAATTACCGACGGATTTATCAACGGATATATTCGTCGGTAACTAATTATTATTTTACCGATGGATATATCCGTCGGTAATTTCCGTCGGTAAATACCTGTCGGTAATACGCGATTTTCTTGTAGTGTCTTGGATAATAACACCATTTTGATCAATGTGCATCTTGTCACTTAAACGTGATTCAATATACATAAATAAGTATTAATATAGTTATAGTGTTTACCTAAGTTGTGTCCTCAAGAAAAATTGGTCAGTGTGAACTTTGATTTTCACTTATCAAAAGTTAGGAGAAAGGGGGATATGGAGAGTTTTTGGTATTAAAGCAATAAAAGAAAGCAAGTAAAACTATTAACTATGAAAAACAGTCAACTATCCTAAAAAATAATAAAGAAAAGCATGTAAAAAATGCATGTAGAAAATAATAAAATGCATCAAAGTAAATCTCTCTAGAAAAGCATGTAACAAAGCATTATAGTGCTGAAAATGTAAAGCTTGTAAGTGAAGTACCACAAATGAAAGCAGAAAATCCAAGTCCTTGGAAAGCGGCTGAAAAGCAATAAAGTAACATAAAACATGAATTTAATTTTCAAAACAAAATTGTAACTTATGCAATAAATGTAGTAAGGAAAATTTATGAAAAACATAAGTTGATTTTTCAATCATGAACTTGTTGATATAAGTGTCATTTATTTCTAGACTTACTTGTAATTACAAAACAAATTCATAAGAATTCTGACTAATTACAATTCAATTAAATTAAAACACAAATAAATTCATAAATCAAACAATTACTTAAACCTAGAAATTGAATTGCATGTAAAATGAGACATTCAACCAAATAATCTAAAATATACTTATTATAATTTGTTAGAATTATTAAGAGCCAAATTTAAACCATATCTACAAGAGTCAACATAACAACAAAGAAAAAACAAAAAAAATATGTTCAAATGTAAAAGAAAAGAAGTAAAAATGAAAAATAAATGGAAATAAAGAAATAGGAGACAAATCTAATCCAAATCATATTGAATTGATATACTTCAAGAAACAATTCCTACAAGATCCTCAAGATTCAAATTTGGAAGTTAAGTCATGATCAAGTGCAAGAAAAGAGAGAAAAGTATGGAGAAAAGTAGATTTTAAGCCTTGAAATTTAGAAAATGAAACTTTGAACTTAACTTATGAATTTCAGTCTTCTAAAGTCTATTTATACAACTACAAACTTGTTTAACATGTGCAAGACCTATTAAAGACCCATAATTATTCAATTACATAAAATGAAACTTGTTTAACAGGACTACTTTTACCCACTAAGTGAAATCGACAATTAAGTTAGTTGATTATAAGTGTCATCTTTACTCAATGAAATTTTTATTTGCTTAGTGAAATTGTAAATCTGGAATGAGATTTTTTTATAGTAATTCATTGAGTGAAATTCTTCTATATTGGACAAATTCTTCAAAATATTTTTTTATATTTTCTTAATTTATTATTCTTGTAAAAATAAATAAATAAATAATAAAAATGCATAATTTAGATAATAAATTAGATATAAAATTGCTTATTATCTTTTATCAAAATTTTGTTGATAATGAAAAATTAATTAGTTAAATATATTAATTATATAAATAAAAATATAATAAAACGTGTTCATCAATAATATATTAATTTGAGTAAAGTTATTTATTTATTTATTTTAAATTATAAAAAATATTAATTTCACTACAAGAATTTTACATATTAGCTATGACACATTGCGTAGCTATTTTATAGTTAATCTCTCACTCGGTATGTTTTGTTACAGATTAGCTATGGAATAGCTATGAAATAGTTCGTAGCTAAATCCAAGTAGCTAATTAGATACAAATGTATTCTCTCTCAAATTTGTAGCAAATTTTGTCGCTAAATTGTCGCTAAATCCCTTGCTAATTTAAATGATGAAATTTTGTTTATCTTTAGCTAATTTGATCTCCCAAAACTTGTAGCTAATCCGTAGTTGATCCTTCGTAATTTTTCTCTAGCTAATTCGTAGCTAATCCCTAGCATTTTCACTCTCGCTAATCCGTAGCTAATCCCTCACAA